GGACTACAGGCCAGCCTGAGAGGTGCTTTGCGGCTCCTGGAATGAATGGGCCTCTGTCTTCAAGGCTGTGTGAGCCTCTGTGTATGAAGGTCCCATTAACTCAACCTCAGCCACACGTAGAAAGGGGAGAGGCCTGAGAAGCCCAAAGCGCACAGTCCTTCTGATTTAGAATTAAGTAAAATATGCAGAAGATAATACACAACTGTAGCTCAGAACAGTGTGTATATTGACAACCCACCCAATGTCCTGCTATTATCTCTTCTTACCCCTTCTGCTAATCTCCTCTTGAGTAGGCTCCAGTAAGTGAACCTATGTGCACGGCCATGTCAACTTCACTCAGTATGTGTGCCCCTTCCAGTGTCTGAAACCCTGGATGTGGCTTTCTCCTGCCTCAACTTTAGCATCCACTTTGGATGCTCATGCTTCCAGCCGGCTTCAGTTGCACAATTGTATCTGTAATGGACAGGCAGGCTCAAGTCCTATCCAGAGGCCCTATGTTCCCACTCTCCCTTGCAGACCTCTCTGGGCCCAGGCCCCTGTTGCCTTTGGCTGTAGTTTGTTTAACAGAGTGACTCCTGTCTGGGAGCAGCCTGGAGCACAGGACACAGGGAGACAGTTGTCCGAGCTATTTTTTTTTTTTTTTTACCAGCAGAGCCAAACCACAGCGATGGGCTTAGTGGCCTGGCTGTGTGCCTTCCTCATCCCTCCAACCACTATCCTGGCCCCAGTTACCAATGGCCTCTGGTTTAAGACTTCTAGTTATCCACTAGAAGACCTCCTGGGTTGGAGATCTGACTTCTGAAGAAGTGATTGGAGCTGAGAGAGGTTCCTGGGGACCAAAGGACAGACCCGTGAAGACCAGCAACCATGCCATATCATCTCTATACACCCAGTGCCTGGCACCAAATAGGATCTAAAGCTGTTAAGTTAGTGAATGGTTGAGTAGAAGGTAGTACAGACAGATGGATGAATATATAGAGCAAAATAAATTCATTTGCCCATAAAGATATTTTTATTGAAATATTACCAGGTGTCTTGACCGAAACATGGGAAAGGCTCAAGTGGAGACAGTATAATAGAGACATCCATCACTGAATCTAAGGGAATGTTATTAGCCCAGACCCTTTCTGGAATGTCTATAGGACTAACTACCTTATAGGTTGGGGCTGTGTAAAACTGATCCACTCTCTATCCTTACTTCTACCCCCGGATTCCTCCCATCAAGGATGCAGTACCTACTAGAGGAGGCCCTGTGCAGCCGAGTGAGGCTGCAAACTGGGCTGTAGTTCAGGAGCCATGGCACTGGGTATGACACAGGGTTGGCGCTATAGCAAGATGCTATGTGCTTGCACCAGGGGATAGATAGGAGGATGGAGCTAGTTTCTAGTGCAGAAGCCTGGCACACGCAGGTACTGCGGTAAATACTGAACCAATAAACCATTACTATGCTTTCTCTCTCATTGTCACCCCCAAATCACTTTCTAACCAGTGTATAAGACTACTCTTATTTTGGAGGAGGAATGAATCAGATTAGCAGCCCAGCTGAAGGAGGAAGAGGCAATGGTATGCACCATCCTCAAGCTCTCCAGCTCCACTCAGGAGTGCTGCCATTCCCTCACAAAGATCCCCGGTACTGAGTGTCTTAGGGAAGCAAATGTCCAAGTCCCCCGCCCCCGCCAGGTCCTTGCTCTTCAAGTCTAGTTACTATTCTCTGCGAGCCTTCCATCTATCTAAATTACACCTGGAAAGCCCGGGTTTGAGGTCCAAAGAGACTGGCCTCCCTCACAGAGTCCATGCTCCAAGCAGATGCAAGAGAGTTATTGGCTCAGGGCAGCCAAGAAAGGCCTCGGAAGCCAGGGAAAACAATTAGGAACAATTACCATCAAGAGAGGCCTCTGGTGAGGGTGGAAGCCATCTGTGATGAAAAGTGGCAGAATGGTCTGGGGACTAGCAGAGGGTGGGGGAAGGGCTGAGAGAACACCGCTTTTCTTTTCCAGTCAGAGGCTCAGGACGCCTCCCACTTAGCTCCTTGAATACAATTTCCCTCACTGGGTAGAGGAGCTTAGTGTGTGTTGGGGTGGTGTGGGTGGGAGACAGAGCGACAGCACTGGGTTCTGCATTCCTGAGATTCTCAACCCCGGGAAGAAGAAACTTCACACTGACAAGAATGAGTGAGGCAGTGGTTAAAAGACAGAATGGACCACTAGAAATCAACCCCCCCCCCCCGTTTGTGTGTGTGTGTGTGTGTGTGTGTGTGTGTGTGTGTGTGTCTGTGTGTGTGTGTGTGTGTGTGTGTCTCCGTGGCCCTACCTAGCGCAAACCTTGCCTGCTTCCTGAGGCCATGTGGATGGGTTGGGTGGGGCCTACTGGCATCTCTGAATTTCATCTCCCTCTGTCTTTAGGCTTATGGTTTTTTGGGTTTGATGAGACTCTAAAGGAAAAGGATTGGACAGGTAGTGGAGAGAGAAATGACCCTTGGAGGTCACTCCTTGGCTCCTGCGCAGTGGTGGCACATGCCTTTAATCCCAGTGCTTGGGAGACAGAGGTAGGTGGATCTCTGTGAGTTTACAGAGTGCTACACAGAGAGACCCTATCTTGAAAAACCAAAAAACAAACAAGCCAAGGAATCAATGAACCCAAAGGCAGAGGGACTCTGCCCTTCCCTCCCCCTTCCAAACTAAGGTGAAGAGATGAGTAAAGACCCAATCTTGTTCACAAGGGACAACAGAGTGGTCTCACTGAAGGCTCTCTGCCTAGGTTTCAGCTTAACAGAGCTGTAGGAGGTCTTTGGGTAGATGCTTTCCTCAGGAGCATGCTCAGCACACCTGAATACCTCAGGTCCTCAGTTCCCTGCTCTTGGATGGGAGGATGACCTGGAAGACGTGGGCGGCTGTTCAGTGTCTGTGCCCAGTTTTCTCCTTTTAGAAGTGGTGACATTAGTTCCTAATCACAGACTGGGGCTGTTGATGAAGCAATGTATATACAGTGGTTGGCATGTATGTATGAGGCCAGGGCCTTGAACCTTACTGTTATATTACTAATACGATTTGAAGATGGCTCTAGCTGCTAAGTAGAAACAAAACAAAAAAAACAACAACAAAAACCCCCTTGAAGCCAGATACTCTGTAGTGGACAGGAAGTAGAAATGAGGAAGTAATGAGTTAGATTAGGGGCCAGCCCAGCACTTGGGAGGCTGAGAGATGCGGATCTCTGAGTTCAAGGTCAGCCAGAGCTACACAGTGAGACCCTTTCTCCAAAATAAATAAATAAATAATGTCAAAGTGGAAGCTCTCAAAATGGAAGGCAAAGTATGCAGGCACATGCTATAGTTTCCGCATTCAGGAGAATGAGAAGGATCAAAAGCCTGGCTACATAGTGAGGCTATCTCAAAAATAAGCCCATGGGGCTGGAGGGATGGCTCCACAGTTAAAAGACTAGCTACTCTTTCAGAGGACCCAGATTCAATTCCCAGCACCCATGTGGTAGCTCCCAACTGTGTTACTCTGGTTCCCGGGGAACTGACGCCCTCTTCTGGCCTCTTCAGGTAACAGACACACAAGTGGTACACAGACATATGTCTGAAAAACACTTATATACATAAAATCAAAATAAATACATTTAAAGAGCATAATGGAACATGAATCCAAAACACAAAAGTTCAGTTGTGATCCACACTTGGAGACAGAGAGAATGATCAGGAGCTGAGGGTCATCCTTGGCTACATAACAAATTTGACGCCAGCCTGAGTTACAGGAAACTCTGTCTCTTTCAATTAACACACAACTTGGGAAGCCAATAATAGCAATTCATTCACCCCTTCAACCAGCCCGTCTCTTCGGTTGTTCTGGACACCTGGAGGAATGCAGACATTTTAGCAAGAGATGCATAACACAAGTCAGGAACTAGCATCATGCCCAGATGCTGCTAAATACAGAGGAGGAAACTGTGAGTGAAGAAGCTGTAGACTTTGGATCTGAGTGTCCAACAGTTGGAGGAAGCGGCAGAGGCTGGGTGGTTAACACTAAGCAGCAAGGGAGAGGAGTAGGATGGCAGTTAGAGAGGAGTGAGCCAAAGGCAGGGTCTGCCAGGCCATCGTAGAAACAGAAGCCTGGTCTGCACAGGGCTGATGGTAAACGCACATAGCGGGTAAGGAATGAGCATGTCTGAGAAGTGTCAGCACATAAAGAACAAGCATTGGTCCCCTTTCCTTTGGGACTTCCTGCAGAGCCATGACCAGAGAACCATCCAGGAGGCTGGGGAGAGGGTGTCTTTATGGACACTAGGTGAAAGTCCCACTTTGAGAGCAGTCTTTTTGTTTGGTCTCAGGTGGAGAAGAGTCAGGCAACTGCCAGCTATCTAACCAGTCAGGAAGGGCATGATTTAAATGTTTCATTTCTCATTCCAGCCATTGTTTGATGTTTGAAAATCTTAATCATGTCAAAAGCCCCCAAGAATTCAAAAATCTGTCCAGGAACAACCTGGGCTCGCCTAATCAACAGACAGATGTTTCTCCATGAGGCTGTAAGCAGCTCGCTCACTCTTGTGAGCATGAGCACTGAGAGGGAATATGGCAAGAAAGGTATGCAGGAAAGCAAGGAGACAAAAGGTGCAGTTAGTCCTGACTGGTGCGCTTGGCCTCAAGAGAGCTCTCTGGCAGCCTCTACAGACAGGGGTTAGTTTCTAAAAGCACCAGAAAGCCACAGATTTGCATGCTATTTGTGTTGCAGGCTTCACTTCCAGGTATGTGGAATGAAATGAATGAATGAACAGTATTCAGTCTCCTGGTTAAGGGGTGGATTCAGAAATCCAGACCACAGTGAGGATCCAATCACTGGTCCAGTTTGGATCAGCAGACAGGGATATCTATGTAATGTATACATATATGTATACACACAACACACACACACACACACACACACACACACACACACACACACCTCATATATGAGAAGAGACAGAAACAGTCTCTGAGACACAAATATTGAGTCCACAGTCCCCAGTCAAAGCACAGAAGCAAAATCCATGGAATTTATTTTAAATAAATCGATTAAAAAAAACAAAACAAAAAAAACAAACCCCCAAACTAGGGAGTGACACATACAGAAAAAGGCAATACCCTGACATATCCCCACCCCTGCCCTTGCCTCCACTTCAGCTTCTTTCTCAACTACAGGCTAAAGACAAGGTATCTGTTTGCTTAGCCTCCCCTGTCAAGCAAACTATAAATGTATAGACTGTAAGGCCCTGAGGACAAGTCGCTTTTATTTTCTTGGTCAAACCATCTTTCCTCCCCATTTCAGGGCTCCTAAGTCCAGTGCTTGGCCTCACATTTAGGAAATACCTCAATGAGAGAGAGAGAGAGGGAGGGAGGGAGGGAAGGAGGGAGGGGAGGACTACTCACCAACTGAGTGCACAAGGGATACCACTGTCAATAAAAGGATGGAGGAGAAACCTACTCAAAGGGTTAAAAAAAAGATCCTGATAAGCCTCTTGGGATAGAGCTTGAGAACTCCAAATGGCAGCAGGCTGAATTGATGAGGAGGAAGGTGCTGCTGCTAGAGGCCAAGTGGAGCACTGTTTGAGATCTAAAAGAATCCTCTGGGACTCCAGCATTTGGAAGTGATGAGGAATAATCAATCCTTCCTCGAACCCTTATAGCACTATTATTCTAAATGGTTCAGAGATCGAGCCCTGTCGAATCCTCAGCGGATCAGAACACAGAGGCTTGCACTCTTGATGCGGAAAAACAACATCCACCCATTCCCTTGGCCTTCACAGCTCCATGCTTTGGTCGACATCTGAAGGCAAACAGGGAAGTTATCCCATTCCCATTCCCTCATTAGGGCTACAGAAGTCCAGACAAGAGATTTAAAGATAATGTGACCAGAGAGGGTGTTAAGATCATACTTGGATGTATGCACTTAGTCGGTGCTTAAGAAAGGACTAAAATGAATGAGGGTGTCTGAGCAGAAGAGAGTCTGGGCTCCTGGGTACCACTCTCCCACTCATCTTTCCTAGCAGTTAGGTTCTGTCAAGGATAAGATAATCTCTAAAAGTCAAAAATAACTGACAGCTACTCCTCAGCTTAGAAGGAAGAAAAGCCTGCATCTAGTTATGTTATATTTAGCAAGGTTCTGATGTAGATGTTAATGCTACAACCAAGCCGGTGCTCACACTCATCTTCAGCTTCAACTTGAAAGCATCTTACTCTGCCTAGCATCGGCCATGCAGGCAGAGCAAGGAAAAACAAAACAACCAAGTGCTAGATACATTTTACTCTGACATTTTTCAGAGCTTGGAGGATGGCAGAGAAAGATCAGAGGTTAAGAATTTTGAAAACAGTGGAGCTCTTGAACGAATCCTCTCCTTCTAGACCCACTAGTGATTGTAAAACCAGGGCCATGTAAAACCAGGTTGCAATGACGGGCAGACTTTGGGATGGGGTGGGTGGAAATGTTTTGCCAGGCTATCTGTTCTACCCTTAAACCACTAAAACACTAAAGCTACCAGTGCTGAGGACAGTGAGCAGAAGATGCTAGTATGATTACACTGGCTAGAGAAAAGAACCCGGTAGCACAAGGAAGTATACCTCCTATTTAGAAGAGTGAACTGACGGCAAGTCTCTAGGCTGTATGATAGAGAAACACACAGAACACTACACAGGACTCCTGGGAGTCAGAGTGGGTCTCAAGTGATCAACTGGATGTAACTGTCTCTATACACCATACCACATATTCTCAAAAGGGCAGAAACAGGTCTTATTTTCTGCATATGCAGTCCAGGGATGACAGTTGGGACTGTGTTTTTTTTTTTTTTTTTTTTTTTTAAGAGTCTGAAACTGCCATGTAATACTTAGCATCCTTCAAATATTCCTTTTGTAGGGGAGGGGAGATGGTTATGAGCATTGAACCCGGGGAAATGAGACCAAAGAAGGAAAACAGGCACATTTAGTTTAAAGCAGGTTAAACAGATACTGGTAGCATACCCTTGGCCACAGAATACAGAAACATCTTCAGTCTTTGTCATCAAAGTTCACTCTTGAGGAACTTTGGAAGTTTCCAGGTACTTGCTCTGCTCTTGCTGGCTGGCTCTCTAAGAATGGCTTACTATACAAGTCTGTACATGATTCCCATTTAGCCACTCTGTCACATCTGTCCACTCTTATTAGTCTTGGGATGGACAGTGGCCTTGCGATCACTAGCTTTTACCTGGTACATACATATTTAAACTGCATTGGAGAAAGGGAGCCGACTTCAGACAGGCTCAAGAATTCCTTATATATGCAAAGTGCTTTTGTTGCATGTCTCATATTCTGAAATACATGGCAATAAATATTTGTTGCTTTGGTCCATACAAAAAGTCTCTGAGGAAGATAAAACAGATATTGTCTAAAGAAACAAACAATAAACACAGAAGGCTATTTTTGTTGAGCCCCAGATAATAGTGGGAAAAGTCTGAAAAGTTTGTGTTTATATTTAAAGTCCAAAGTGCCACCAAGTAAGCTGTCACTTACACACAGTAAGTGTCAAGAATCAGACAATATCTAGGAGTGACAGTGAGTCTGCATGCCACAGTTTTCTAAAGGAGAGTGTGAAAGGTCCCAGTAACTCATATACAGAAAGCTATTTATTTCCTATAGAAAATCAAAAGAAAAGGACAGGGAGGGAAGATGGAGGAGAAGAGTAGCAAGAAGGAAACACAAATGTACAAAGGGGTCTCTTCCTCCAACATGCAGGGAACAAAGGAAGAGGAAGGACACTGGTTGTTGGAGTGGAGACGGTAACATTCAGTTTAACAATGGAATATTAAAAAAAAATAGTTGTTGTTTTCAAATCGTAACCTGTGGTAAAACATAGAAAAATGTACTAAACAAGCTTGGTATAAAACAGAGTAAAATTTTCCAATAAGCCCGAGGAGAAAGCACAATGCTGGAAAGGATGGGCACAAAGGGAGAGGAGAAGAGATTTTATATAAAACTACCTATTACAATACAGAAAAAGTATAAAATGTTCCTGTCCGGAACCTAAGTACAAAATGACACTGGCATTGGATCATCCATCTCACCATCTAAACCTTAGGAGCTCTCAGAGGGTGGGAGAGATGCTACAAAGAACAAAAGGAATAGCAGTTTGAAAATCTCAGGCTTATCAATCTAAACTCTACCCCCCCACACCTTTTTTTTTTAAGCTGAAAATGCTAGTTTACCTTGGTAACCCTTACTCCTAAGCCAAAATTCATTCAGGTCTCAAAATATTCTTAGGAAGTCTACAAACACCTGATATGTAGTGGTTGTTGGGATCACTGTGTGCTGGAATTTGAAAGATGAAAATAAACCTACAGACTAAATGGTGAACACATTCAGTCTTTCTTTTCTTTTAAAAGCATATCCCTGTGAAATATATATTTCACGTGTGTGTGTGTGTATGAATGTATACACACACATATAGATAGATATATATGTATATAAAATTCTCTGTGGTTAGAAACATATTTAGACTAACTAGCCACAGACCACCTAGACCTGTATTCATCCAACTCTGATACTTGATGCTAAAGCAGGCAACAGTGAAGTGGGGGCCCTGCTGCTGCACTCAGCACGTCTGGGCATGTCCTCCCCACGGCACATGCGCTAGCACATGCAAACCCCTGCTTGTAAGGGAAGGCCTGCTTGCGACTTTAGGGTCTGCCAGGGTGTGTGCACTGTGCTCAGAATGGGATGACTCTGCCAGTGATAAAACAGCTTTGAGGAGAAGCAGCTGGGTTTCACATCAGGGCATATAAATAGGAAGGGTTCTGGAGGAGGGGACTTAAGCTCGTGCCTCAAAGTCCAGTTTATAGTCCCGTTCCTAACTCTGTATCTTAGGAATCATGTGTATGTCTACGTGCTGGTGGTTTTTAGTCTACCTGCTGTCCATTCCCTTTCCTACTTCTTGGTAAGGCCTAGCAACAAGAGTTTATAAGAAGCCAAGATACTTCCCAAGTTTTCCTTGGGCTCCTAATTAGGGACTCAGTGAGGCTGGAGCCCTTTGGAAACAAGACAGCAGAGCTGAGGTGAAAAGCAGTCTCTCTCCAGCTTAGGGACGTCCCTCACCCCCTTCACAGCACCAAAGTTTCTTTGCAAAAATAGTATCTGAGATACAAAAGGGAAGGCAGATGTGCTTGTGAGTGCGTCTCGCCTGGGCTGCTCCAGGGTCAGGGGTGGCACACCAACAGACACCAACAGGGCGAGGGGCAGCTGTTCCAAGGTCTCTGGCTGCAGACGGCAGAGGGCTGGTCCCCCTCACTGTCATGTCTGCTCTGAGACAGTCTTCACAAGAGCTTCCGGTGGAGGATCTCCCAGACCATTCGCTTCCGGAAATATGGCATGTGTTGCTGCAGGGATATAGACACACTCTTAATTTTCACTTTTGTAGGTACCATACTCCTTTCTCCGTACTCCCTTTCTCTTAAGGTTTTCAACCAACAGACTACTCAGTGACATTAAAAGAGTTGTTGTGGTCATAGTGTCTCTTCGAGGCAATAAAAACCTTAATTAAGACAGGGTCTATTCCAAAACCTGAATGCTAAATTGAGGGGAATTGAAGAATGCTTTCTCTGGTTCCAGCTTTGTGTTTCCTGTAAGATTATTGGTAGGTGGAGGAGATGGACAGAGAATAGAGAATAAAGCTTTCTTTTGAATCAAACTCACTATCATATGTGACACATGGTAACCCAGGATGTGGATGTCACTGTTTTCTTTGGTGCAGTGTTATAGACAGTGAACAGTGTCATGAGACACAACCCAAAGCATGCAAAGGTACGGTAGAGGCCACAGAACAGAGAGAAAGGCAACTATGGATGGCTTGGGTATCAGGTGCCTAGGCGTCATCCTGAAAGCCCACCTCACCTGTGTGAAGTTGATTGGTCTGTCTTTGGTAATACAGTCAGCATATTTGCAAGCAAACATCCCACAATCACTTCCATTCATCTGCTGTGGAATTTCCTAAAAGACAAACAACATACTATTTTTTGCAAGTTTCTTTATCAATTTTACACCATTTCCCTGAATTATGAACATATGACCTTGGTTCTCCTATTTAAGACAATAAAGAAAAGTTTAAGGGCAGTATTTTTTTTCTTAAAAAAGGTAGTATTTTAATCTCACCTTTCTGTTTTACTTCATATCAACCACATGGGGGAACTATCTCAGATTTTCATGGTACCTAAGGGTGTAAAAGCTGGTCTTTCCACTAAGCATCAAATAGCCAAGTATTTCTCACAGGAGTAAGAAACTCAGCAAAACAGCATGGCATTTCGAAAATAGTTTTACACAAGAATTATGTTATGAGCTTTCTCAAAAATAATTCACTTTCCTCGAGGAACCAGACAAAGCTGAAGTCAGGCTAGTCATGAAGCTAGAAAGTCCTTGGGAATTAAACAGTAGATAAAACCCCTCCCTCCTCAACAAGAAATGTACCTGGCTTTTCTTGCTGAAGAGCTGCCAGCCATTGGTGTCAAACTCTTTCCTTTTCTTGTCAACACTTTCTTGCTTTAGGTATTGCCTAAGGCATCAGAAGAGAATGAGATGAGCTGTGTGGAGTGCAGCTGCCACCCACAGAACAGTCTTCTTCCAAAGTTCTTCATTCTACTAATCCTCCTAAGCAATAATTTCTAAACATTTCTCTTGGTTTGTATGGTCCTTTTAGAGTCTTCAATATAATGGATAATTTATTATTAAATTACATAAATTATTAAAAATGTCTCTAGCAGTATCAGGGTACGTATCAGGTGTGTTTATGTGTTGTAGTGTGATTGTGTTCACACACATGTGGACATGAGTATGTGTATGCCACATGTGGAGGCCAGAGTGATCAGAGTCATCCTTGATCACTCCCCAACCTTATTCATTGAGACAGGGTCTCTCAATCAAATCCAAAGCTCACCGATACAACCAGCTTTGCTGGCCAGTTTGTTATGTCTTCCAAGGCCAGAGTTCTGATGAAGCCATGCCCACACATCTTTGATGTGAATCCTGGAGACCCAAACTATGGTCCTCATGTTTGTGTAGCAAGCCCTTTAAACTCTGAGCCTCTCCCGAGCCCAAGAGCATTCTTTTGAAGTATTAAATGCTCACTTTTCAGGAACCTACTCCCCCCTGGCCATATGCCAGGTGCATAGCAAAATAAATAAATAAATAAATAAGCAAATAAATAAATAAATAAATAAATAAATAAATAAATAGGTGTTTTAGAAAGAGAAGCAATAGGGTACAAGAGACTTGCATTCTAATTTCCAAGTGAGCCACTCACTAAGTATTAAGACCCAAGTAAACCAAAGTCACCTCTGTGGGTCTTGATTTTTTTCATGTAAAATTTCAGAAAGCTGAATTAAATGAGTTCTGTTGACTTAATCTCTATGCAAATAGTTACTCTGTTTTAGCATGTCAAGACAGCAACTGCCCTCACTAATACATACTGTAGTATTATATTGCTAAACTTTACTTGAATTTTAAAATATGCAGTTATACTACATATGACAGTGTCATTAGTCACGTTTCTGAAGGGAACGCCGGAAAGACAGAGGAAGCAACAACCTGCTGTCTGCCCTCAACTTGTACTTACAAGAGGATTCTGCAGGCTTCATTGTTTATTCCACCCATAGAATCGTAGTAGGTGACACTCTTCTTTCTAAAGTCTATGACCTGAGAACAAAACAGAGCAGTGAGGACACTGCTGTAGCATCAGTTTTCCTCTCCAGCTTTTTGTGACAGTGTGAGAAGCTGTCGGATGTTTGTATTATATTGTCGCAGTAACAAGTGGATTATTTATGTAGAGTGATGCTGGGGGCTTCCTCAACTGGTGGGCCTAGTAATTGGTCTGAAATATTTTTCTACAGCTCAGTTTTCCATGATCAACAACACATGATTCAAAGAAGACTAGTTAACTATCTCAAGATCATTCCCACAGTTTAAGAAAGATGATAAGATTCTGGGTTTGTCTTTAATCTTGGTGTCTCCTCCCCCCATTGTTTTGAGACAGGGTTTCTCTGTGTAACAACAGCTCTCCTGGAACTCGATCAGTAGACCAGGCTGGCCTCAAACTCACAGAGATCTGCCTGTCTCTACTTCCCTAGTGCTGGGATTAAAGATGTACGCTGCCACCACCAGGCTGGTACTTTCTTTTTTGATATTTTAAAAATGTAATTCAAAACAGAATACGCAATATCTTTATTAACATTAATGTATTTGTGCTCCCATAATCATAAAAGCACACAAAGAAATTCATGCCTAGGCAGAAAGTAGTGGCCAGAGCTGGAGCTGTTGGCATCACAAACATTCTTCCCCCTTGTCTTATGCTGAGGCTGGTAGTTGGCCTACAGCTGCCAAGTCTAAGCATCTCGTACTATGATAGGAAGGAAATTCACTCATTTACCTGACTCTTAGCTAAGTTATCCCTATTAAATCCTACTTTCCCCTATAATCAAGCAAAGATGATGTAGAACTCATGACCCTCCATGTTGTCTTTGTGAGTTTCTTTTTCATGTCATCAAAAATAAAGGAGTTACTCACAGCAAGACACCAGTGCACACCCAAGTGAATGGGCACCAGAAGAATATCAACAGAAAACACATCCACTTTCTTTGTCCAACGTTTCACCGCCTGATAACCAGCTGTTTTTAACTTAGTGAAGAAAAAGGTATTAAAGGCATGTACACTTGGAAATCCTTTCTCTTTGCTGCGTTCCATTAGCATATTCATGTAGAAATTGATGATCTGCAGGGAGACATTACACATTAGAATAGTCAAAACAGTGGCACAACAGGGAAAGAGCAGCTATTACACTGAATAACAATATGACGTTTACATATGTTTATGTGTTATGTTTTGAAACCCAACCAACTCAATGAATGCTTCAAGAGACAGATTTTAAATATCCAGTTTTTACTTATTATGAGGTTTTATGAAACCCAACCAACTCAATGAATGCTTCAAGAGACAGATTTTAAATATCTTATTTTTCAACCATACTTCTGAAAGTATCAAGCAACTAAGTTTAATTGCTGGAATGCAGAACACACAGGCAGACACTAGGCAGACTTGTAGAAAACCGAGAGGAAGGAGGAAGGGGAGGCTGCGGAGAAAAGGAAAGATGGAGTGCACTGACAGACACTGTGCTACTTTTGTACTGAGCTCAGTTTTCTCCCCCATGCCCTTTCCTCCTTTCCCTCCACTTTCCTTTTCCTCTTCTCTCTCCTTCATTTCTCACTCCCTCTGTTGAGACAGGGTCTCACTCTGTAGCAGACTGGCCTAAACTCATTATACAGCCCAAGCTAGCCTTGAACCTGTGGAACATCTCCTGTTTGAGACTTGAGTGTTGGGATTAAAAACTTGGATGGTGACATGATCTTGTACAGAGAGAAAATCTGGCTCCACACCTAAAGCCCTATCAGCTACACTGCAGTGGCACACTGCTTAGGTTTCAAGCAGATCTAAGCAATCAGAAAGCCAGGAGACAAACTAAGAAAACACTTGCAATAGCACAGCAATTTCACTTAGGGGCGAGACATGATATTGTATAAAACTGTTTTCTGTTAAAGACCTAACCATCAAGTCTCGAGAATGAAGAATCTAGATGTTTAGCTTTCTCAGCTCTTGACTGCATTACTCCTTCAATAGCAAGTGTGAGTATGGCAAAATAAAATGCTTGATAAAAGAGATACATGATTCTTTCTGTCAAAGCAATGTCTTCTCTAACAGTAGCTATGCTGTCTGTGGTTCCTTTAGGTCCAGAACTCCCTGGTACTAAATCTTAAAAGCTACTGGGCCAACAATTACGGCATACTTACTTTATGTGGCTAGCTAAGGCCAGGCCAGTGTCTGTCAACCAAAAGGAATGAATGGGCCGACTGAGCCACAGTTTGGAACTATGACTATGAAAACAGGCACATTTTTCAGAATGTTTTTTGAGGAATGGGAAAATGCCCCTGTCCTTTGACAAATATTTACACACCAGGATGCCAGAGCAGTGAGCCACTGTCCAACAGCAGGGAACACTGCCAGGAACAGAGCATGGTCTAAACCAGAGAAAGGGCCTATAGATACAGATGCAGAGGCAGCTTCAGGGAAACTGCATTAAGGGCTCTAAGGTGATGGGGGGGGGGTGGCAGGACTGAACACACTGTTCTGCCTACAGCTCTAATTACTGTGCATTACACCCTGAGGAAGCAGAGGACCTAGGTTGTGGCTAATTCTATGTCCTGAAGCTAACTGGTTCTTAGTTGTTTTAAATAATGAAATCAAGGTACAATCAGATGGTATGTTTTCAATTCTACATATTCAGTTTAACTGCCAGAAAGTAATGGTCCTAATAATATATTTCATTTGTAATACATCTACTAATATAGGCATACCTGCCCAGCAAGCACAGATTTCTTGATAGTAAACTACATCTCCACTGAGAGCAAATTAACCAAAAGGAATGGATAAGTTCTCAGTGAATTGGGTAGAATCTACCTTGTCTACTATGTTATCCATATGATACATATATATTATCAACATACATTGTAGCTGTATATTTACTGTACCCAAAGCTACAGTATACAGGCAGATAACCAGACAGTCACTGAGAGCCAAACCTTTTTGCAGGGGCTGGCAGATTACATACTTATCAGGCAATAAGGACTACAGAGAAAGGTGAAAGAACAGAGAGACCAGGACAGTCAAGCACACAAAGTGTTTCTTTCCCAGTTATCAACCAGTTATCACCTCTGTAATCATTAGCATAAAGTTTAAAAGAAAGTGGGGGTTGACATGTTGGACGTTAAGTATCTTATTTTTCAGAAGGAAAAAGTTCTAAAAACTAAACATATTTTAAAATAGGTTTTTCCTTGCTCCCTGAAAGAACCAACTATAAAGCTAGATTGACAAGAACAGAGAATCCTTTCTTCACTGCTTGTGTCTCTATACCATCCAAGTTTGTTTGTTTGTTTGTTTGTTTGTTTGTTTGGTCTAATCTGCCTGCATGCCAGCAGAGGGCACCAGATCTCATTTAAGGTGGTTGTGAGCCACCATGTGGTTGCTGGGAATTGAACTCAGGACCTCTGGAAGAACAGTCAGTGCTCTTAACCACTGAGCCATCATCTCTCCAGCCCCGTATTTATTTATTTATTTATTTATTTATTTATTTATTTATTTATATTTTAATTGGGGGGGATGGCTTCTTCCCACTAGCCAATGGTTAATTAGCTCTATGGAATGATCTGGGTTCCTTTCCATATTCTTTATATCCCAGTAGAGGGGAGTTTGGTGGCCTCGACATTCCCTCCCATTAGCTGAGAATTTGCAATCTGATATCTAGGCTGAGTTTAGATCCAAGTCTCTCTCCTCAGGTGAAAAAAACTGCCATAGTTCAGCCAAGATACAATCATACTCAAAATAAGACACAAAAAGAATCCTACATGTCATCTCACAGAGGGGGGCTGAGGATGAAGGGAGAAGAAATGAGAGACGGGATCACAGTGTCCAAGATGAAAGGAGCAGTGAGTGATGCCACCACGTTTGCCTGTGTTGTATGAAAACAAAGGTCCCTCCCTTCTGCACTGGAAGAGCTGTCTATGACACACAAGAGTCTCTTAGCCCAGCAGGTATAAATCCCCTTTGAAAAAAGGGCTAAAGTGCACCAGTCCTGTGTCTTACTGTTTGTCCTGCCACTAACACACATCTGAAAAACACTTGCCACCCTTTCTGGTGCACACTTGCCTGCTGGTGCCCAAAAAGCTTCCTACTGTCTGGAGAGCCTTGACTGGGAGTGTCTGCTGTCTACGCAGCCTTGTTTGAGGATAGGAAACTGTTTACAGTGTCTTTGCTCCTTTTATATTCTATTTGATGTGTTGCCAGCCTGATGCGGCAAAGAAGCGTCTTTTTAAAAAGAAAATTCTATAGTCTTTTCTTTTTTAAAAAAAAATTATTTATTTTAAGTATCTGAATGTTTTGCCTGAATATATGTCTGTGTACCACTTGTATGTGGATCCCCTGGAATTAGAGCTACAGATGGCTGTAAGCTGTCAAGTCGGTGCTGGGAAGTGAATTTGGGTCTTCTGTAAGAGCTTCCTACTGAGCCATCTCTCCAGCTCCAGAAAAATCCTAGTGTGTTTTTAAATGAAGACTGGGCAGAGAGGCCCCCCCCCCCCCCCCGAATGACAGGATGACATAAGTGATCACTGGTATTTGTTTCTTTTTTCTTGCTCAACAGACCAGACAAATCTAGAAGTAAAATATTCACTAGTAGTAAAGTCTTGATGTTTAACTCTTTTAGTTACTCTGAACCCCACTGCTTGGCTTAGGAAGAAATGGGCACAATAATACTCCTGAGCAGACACTGAGACAAGAAGATAACAAAATAGCCACACTTGGTTATTAATGGTTCAGAGACCATCTAGTCAAGATCTATAGTAATATAGAAAATACAGCTTCCCTAATATATATGATTTTGTCTCATGTGTACATTCAAGAACAAATGATCAGAATTACTGCTAAAGTTTTAAAGGTCAGGCAGGTGACACCTACACTGATGGAGAATAACTACTATTTTCCAAATGACCTTGTGTAAGATCTTGGTTTATCAGAGGTAGTTTGGGGAACATTCCAGAGGTCAGCCATAAGGACGGGAAAGGATAAACCCGCGTTGTGATCCTAGAAACAATAGTTAGTTACTCTGGTGGCTTCATTCTCATGGATGCATCACATTTGGCAGGTCTATCATATTCACTTACCTAATCTTTATCTCTTAGTTTTTCTCCTTTTTTTTACACAGGCTATTTCTTCCCTATAAAAACCTTATTTATTTTGTGGGCTGTTTCCTCTCTACTGAGCAATACTAGGCTCTACGTATTTCCCAGAGAGAATTAACCACTATGACCACTGTCCTCCACTCCTTCTATTGTGTGTGTGTGTGTGTGTGTGTGTGTGTGTGTGTGTGTGTGTGTGTGTGTACTAAAACCCATGGCCTTGTGCACAGTAGGCAGGAGCTCTACTACTGAGTAAATATTATGCCCAGACTTTCACTAAATAGTGTGTTCTAAAAGTTATTATTCTTGACTAAAAAGCATGAGCTCCAGCTCTAGAACTCAATTCTGCCATAAAAATCCATTGAGCATGGTCCTTCCTTATAGCCTTACTTTTGTGCTTTCCCACAACCAATCAAATAGGAATACCATTTCTATATACAAGGCTATTACAATGCTGAAAAGCTGAAAGGCATCTCTCTTCAAAGATGAGGCTTACAAATGGCAGCCCACCTGGTTAGCTGTGGTCTCAGTGTACTTGCAGTCTGCTATGTAGACTCTCCTTGATTCCTCCCTCTTCTCACATTTGAGATTTTCTCCATGACCTTTCCTTCCCAGCTGAAGTTACAAATAGCACATTCTAATATTTCAGTCTTATTTTACTTTGAAAACAACCAGTAATAATTAGTATAAGACCCCTGTCCCCCAGAGGGGCAGATATATCTTCTTGCTAGTTTCCAGTTTACCCATGTAAATTAGTTGTTGGCAATGACTTGTAGACTAGGCTCTTGGAGGACAAATGAAAGCAAGAAATGTGCCACTCATGCTGCTATTTCACACTGCACTGAGCCTCTGCCTATTCCATCAGCTACTGAGAGAGAGGGATGCTGAAATCTCTGGAGCAAGTACAGCTTTGTCTCCTCCTCTTCCTCCTCTCAGTTCTACAAGCTTTGTTTCACATGTTTTGAATGTGTTATTAAAATGTATATGCATTTAGGCTTTGAGGCTTTGTTAATGAACTGACCTATACTATTGTGAAATTACAACTGCTGCATACCATCAGTCCTCACTCTAAAATACTTGCTTCTTCATGCTTACTTCCCATCTGCTTCTGCAAGTATGTTTTCTCTTTCCTCTCTTTCCTCTTTTTAGACATTTTTGACTGATTTCCTGATCCAGTATAAAATTCTCATCTACAGTCTCAATTTTATCAGTCTTTTATAGTGTCTGGTTTTTACAGGGTCGTCAGTTCCTGCAGTCTATTTTTGAGAAGCTTGGTTTTCTTATGTGGCAGTAAAAATCTCAAATTAGTTCTTTGAAACTGAACAGAATTTAATAAGCTCATTTGTGAAAATAAAATTGAAAATCTATTGAATAAACAGCCATGAAGGTCTATATATATATATATATATATATTTAAAGAGAACAGGGGCCAGGAGTGGTAGTTCATGCCTTTAATCCTAGCACTGTGGAGGCAAGGGCAGGTGGATCTCTGTAAATTCAAGGCTGGTCTGGTTTACATAGTTCCAGAACAGCCAGGGCTATGTAGAGAGACACTGTTTCAAAAAAGAAGGGAGACCAGGGAAAACTTAGTATAATGGCTTTATATATATCCCAAATACAGGATATTTGCACCATAGCAGACATGAGTGGAGGTCAGAGGACAATTTGTGGAAGTTGGTTCTCTCCTATTATATGGGTCTTGGGGATCAAATGCAGTCGCCAGCCTTGGCAGCAAATCTTTACTTGCTTGGCCATCTTGCTGATCCTCGATTTTCTCTTCTTCCCTTCCTTCTTTTCTTTTGGAGAACTGAGGATTTAATTTTCTTTAAAAACTAAATCTGATTCCTTTCTTTTCCTAGCTTTTATATTACTTTGTCAATGGTAAGAATAATTTATGAGTTACCTTATAATATCCTATAATATTGACAGGACATACAAAAAAAATGGTTATTTACAAGAGTATTTATTTGGGGGAAGAAAAGTATTGAAAAATATGAGCTATTTGCAAAAGACTGAATATTCATAACTGAAAAAGAAAAGTATCTTAAAATAAACATCAGAATTTAAGTATATCTAATAGTTCATCCAAATGTTGGCTATTTAAGCCTAAGAAATGCACTTTAAAATTGGTGCTTCTTAGAATAATTCTTGTTATCTTGAAGATATGACTTTACACCTGCTTTCAAAATTAATTCTCTGAACTCAAAAGAAAAGTATTCCTTCCACCATTACCAAACAGTGTGGTAGTGATACAGTGAGGACATTACAGGACAGTGTAGTAGGGATACAGTAGAGGACATTACAGGACAGTGTGGTAGAGAAACAGTGAGGACATTACAGGACAGTGTGGTAGAGAAACAGTGAGGACATTACAGGACGGTGTGGTAGAGATACAGTGGAGGACATTACAGGACAGTGTGGTAGGGATACAGTGAGGACATTACAGGACAGTGTGCTAGGGAAACAGTGAGGACATTACAGGACAGTGTGGTAGGTAATCAGTGAGGACATTACAGGACAGTGTGGTAGGGATACAGTGAGGACATTACAGGACAGTGTGCTAGGGAAACAGTGAGGACATTACAGGACAGTGTGGTAGTGATACAGTGAGGACATTACAGGACAGTGTAGTAGGGATACAGTAGAGGACATTACAGGACAGTGTGGTAGAGAAACAGTGAGGACATTACAGGACGGTGTGGTAGAGATACAGTGGAGGACATTACAGGACAGTGTGGTAGGGATACAGTGAGGACATTACAGGACAGTGTGCTAGGGAAACAGTGAGGACATTACAGGACAGTGTGGTAGTGATACAGTGAGGACATTACAGGACAGTGTAGTAGGGATACAGTAGAGGACATTACAGGACAGTGTGGTAGAGAAACAGTGAGGACATTACAGGACGGTGTGGTAGAGATACAGTGGAGGACATTACAGGACAGTGTGGTAGGGATACAGTGAGGACATTACAGGACAGTGTGCTAGGGAAACAGTGAGGACATTACAGGACAGTGTGGTAGTGATACAGTGAGGACATTACAGGACAGTGTAGTAGGGATACAGTAGAGGACATTACAGGACAGTGTGGTAGAGAAACAGTGAGGACATTACAGGACGGTGTGGTAGAGATACAGTGGAGGACATTACAGGACAGTGTGGTAGGGATACAGTGAGGACATTACAGGACAGTGTGCTAGGGAAACAGTGAGGACATTACAGGACAGTGTGGTAGTGATACAGTGAGGACATTACAGGACAGTGTAGTAGGGATACAGTAGAGGACATTACAGGACAGTGTGGTAGAGAAACAGTGAGGACATTACAGGACGGTGTGGTAGAGATACAGTGGAGGACATTACAGGACAGTGTGGTAGGGATACAGTGAGGACATTACAGGACAGTGTGCTAGGGAAACAGTGAGGACATTACAGGACAGTGTGGTAGTGATACAGTGAGGACATTACAGGACAGTGTAGTAGGGATACAGTAGAGGACATTACAGGACAGTGTGGTAGAGAAACAGTGAGGACATTACAGGACGGTGTGGTAGAGATACAGTGGAGGACATTACAGGACAGTGTGGTAGGGATACAGTGAGGACATTACAGGACAGTGTGCTAGGGAAACAGTGAGGACATTACAGGACAGTGTGGTAGTGATACAGTGAGGACATTACAGGACAGTGTAGTAGGGATACAGTAGAGGACATTACAGGACAGTGTGGTAGAGAAACAGTGAGGACATTACAGGACGGTGTGGTAGAGATACAGTGGAGGACATTACAGGACAGTGTGGTAGGGATACAGTGAGGACATTACAGGACAGTGTGCTAGGGAAACAGTGAGGACATTACAGGACAGTGTGGTAGTGATACAGTGAGGACATTACAGGACAGTGTAGTAGGGATACAGTAGAGGACATTACAGGACAGTGTGGTAGAGAAACAGTGAGGACATTACAGGACGGTGTGGTAGAGATACAGTGGAGGACATTACAGGACAGTGTGGTAGGGATACAGTGAGGACATTACAGGACAGTGTGCTAGGGAAACAGTGAGGACATTACAGGACAGTGTGGTAGTGATACAGTGAGGACATTACAGGACAGTGTAGTAGGGAAACAGTGAGGACATTACAGGACAGTGGGGTAGGGAAACAGTGAGGACATTACAGGACAGTGTGGTAGGGATACAGTAGAGGACTCTCTCCTCCCCCAAATAGATTCTAAATCACGTAATTTCCATTAGCTTTGTATACTCAAAGTCCAGCCTCTCATGGGTCTGGTGAATGGAAACCATGCTCTGATGAATGCTGCCTCTGTAAGGAAGCTCTCTGAGGTAACTGCACAGTGAAAGAGGACAAGAATTTTGTTTATATCCTACTCACTGCTGCCCCCTAGGTTTCGCATAATTTATAACAAACAGGCAGTGGCAGGAAAAAGAAAAATGGTAAATGATTATAGATCAAAAACAATTTATAAGAGAGCACTTGATTATTATTGACTTTTGTTTTTCTTGTTAATGTGGTGAGCTCTTCACTATAATTTAATCCAATGCTCTATTACCTGGGAGTCAAATAGATGTGACTGAAGTTTCTAACAGAAACATCAAATCATTTGTTCCTTACCACTGCTAGCCAAAAAACAGTACCCAAGGAGTGATAAGCCTCTGAAACTGTTATCTTATAAACTAACCTCTGTCACAGACAATGGAGCATGTCAGCTGGCCCTAAGGAAATCAATGTCTTGGGCATGATGTATGTTTTAAGTTCTACATATCTAATCCCTAACAGATCAATTCAAGACCCCAAGGCAGTGGCCTACAGTGAACACCAGTGCCTGGGTTGAGCCCCACTCTGCTATTTACAGTAAGACCTACAACCATGGGAGTTTCTTAATCTTCCTGTGCTTTGTCTTTTACATGCTCAACTTGTCATGTGTACATAATAATAATAAATAACAAATAGGAATAACTCCTTCTAAAGTGAAACAGGTTTTTAAAGGTTTAGGATAAAGACAGGTTAATTTAAAGATCATGCCATAATTAATATATTTAACTGGAATTGGGAGGTGGAGGTGAAGTCATTCCCCTTCTTGTTACCTATCAAATACATAAAAATTATTTTTTTCAATATCAGCTTTAAAAACATCATGAACAAATAAAGGCTACTTCAAAAAGCTTATCATGTACAATATAAGTAACCTAAAGCAAGGAGATGAGGCAAAGGAAGAAGACCTGGTTCCTGCCTAGAAATCCCAACGTATTCCCTCATGCTGTAATAAGGTCAGACATTAAATATTTGCTCAGAAATATGAACTGCAGAGCAGGTGCCTTAGGCAGAGTGGTCTTTCCTTTGGTATCCGCAGAGCAGACGCAGTCAGGGACATTCAGTCTCTAAAGCACACAGAAGCACAGAGCTTGTTAAAAGCTCCTCTTCTCTGTACACATTCATTCTTACAGAGAAGCCTGGGAGAGGGGCTCAGATGCAGGTCATCTAAGAACCACACTGGAGAAACACTTAGATACTGCCTTTAGTTTTCACTTAATATTTACCTACTATTTTCATATAAAGTAAGTGCAAGATTACCTCATCATTGAGCCAATTTAGATGGTTTAGAGTTTGAATATCTTTGCGTGTAATGGTCAAGCGGAATGCTTCACTGAGGACCTCATCTTGGTTACCAGTACGAAATACATTCTTTATTTCTTTCTCCATTTCCTAAAACAAAAGATCAAACATAATGGTTTGGCTTCTCACACAGTCCCCAGACTGTATTTATTCCAGTTAACTACCTACGAGTTTATTGTTGTCAGTTTGCGTCTATCTAACATTTTTCTTCCTGGCTACCTCTCTCACCCTCCTAGTCTACTCCTTTCTTTCTCACACAAAGTTCAGATCCTTGTTTCCTTCGGTTCCTGAAGACTGAAAAAACCTTTGCTCAAATCTTCCAAGCTCTTTAAAAGGCTTCTTTATGTTTTATATTTCTGGTTCAATTGGCTTCCCAAGAAACAGAAGCTTACATGAAAGGCACCATGGAATAAAGGCACCATGGAGTAAAGGTAGCATCTTGTAGCTAGATGACCTTTTCACAGACAGTATTTTTACTTTAAAGATAAAATATGGAATTTAGTACAACTATAAGAAGTATGTGATATTCACTAGTTACATGCAGTTCTTTTCATATTAATGGTGCTGGCAATCAAATCTAGGACATAGGGCCCTGCAAATGTGAAACAAACTACCAGCAAGTTGCATCCCATGTCCAATAATGTTTTGGAAGAAGTGTGGATTAAGGAACAGATTTTAAAAACATACAAAGACTTCTAAGTATCTTCTAAAATGTTCATAATGATTATTGCTTAAAAAGAAATATTACAGAATCAGTGTGTGAAAATGTCACAAAGAAACCATTTCTTTATAGGCTAATTAAAAATAAATAAGACAGACAAAAACACAAAAAGAAATAATACTTCCCAGCTCACAGTGTGCTATCAAATGATTTCCTATGTGAGCTTGGGGATGAAGCCAGCATATATAAAGTGATGGATTCAATTCCCATAACTGCAATCAAAACATAACAAAATCTCCCAAGCCAAACTCAGTTAACAAAAGTTATTTTTTGAAATACAAAATATAAATGCACTACATACTTTTTCACTGAAGCTGCTAAAACCCACCTATAATCATCTTAATAATTTCTAATTATCAATGTTTAAAAGTAAACATTGATGCATAATACAAACAAAAGTATAGCTATATAAATACAACTTAAATGTAGTAAGTAGGGTACTCTACTGAATTGTTTGAAACTGCTCACAACATCCTTTCTAAACAAAAAGCAATTGTAGATTTTTTTTTTCCCCCAAGACAGGATTTAACTATGTAGCTCTGGCTGGCCTGGAACATTTATGTAGACCAGGGTGGCCTCAAATGCAGAAGTCCGCCTGCCTCTGCCTCCTCCCATGTGCTGGGATTAAAGGTGTGTGCCACTTACCCAGATCTACTCTAGGAATTTCCCTTTCTTTCCTTTTTTTAAAATTTATTTATTTATTTTTTTTTTTGGTTGTTGTTTTTCGAGACAGGCTTTCTCTGTGTAACAGCTCTGGTTATCCAGGAACTTGCTTTATAGAGCAGATTGGTTTAAAACTTACAGAGATCCACCTGTCTTTCTGCTCTTGAGTGCTAGGATTAAAGGCGTGTACCACTGCCACCCTGATAGAATTTTCAGTGTGTACCTTACCTCTGTAATTTCTGGAAATTCGTCTTCACTATCAGTTAACTCATGACTTTTTTTCCCGGTTTCCTGGGCAACTGTGACAGGAATCTCCTTCTCAAGAGGTACACGAAGGTGCAGCTCTATGGAATCAAGTACTGCATGTTCCTGTTCCTGCAATCTCTGGAGACAGAACTTCAGAATAAGTGGGACAAAGACATCTACCACTTGACTTCAGTGAGGTGAGTCAGTCTGGGACATAAGCCATTCACTATAAATGCTAGGCTACATTACTCAAGCATAGCTTGAGTCCCCGGCAGTCCCTCTCTGGATATACTATTTATTTTATAATCTTTTTATAAAAAGATTTCATTTATTTGCTTTTTATGTGTGAGTGCTTTGCCTGCACGTACTCATGTGTACCAAGTGGGTGCCTAGTTTCTGAGCAGGCCAGAAGAGGGTGCTAGATCCCCTGCAACTCAAGTTACTGAAGGCTGTGAACTGCCTTGTGGGAGCTGGGAATGGAACACGACAGAGGCCCCTGCAAGAGCAGTCAGTGCTCTCTGACACTGAGTCACCTTTGTAGTCCTTACTTTAATCTTAACACTTCCTGTTTCTTACCTGGTTTTGAAGCTGTAGTGCTAGTGCTTTCTGTTCTTCAATCTGGCGCAATCTTTCCCGGGCTCGAGAATCATAAACACTAGTTCTAGAAAACAGAGAGCAGCAGAGTCATATCAGCATCTCAGCCTGACCAAGTCCTCGAGAATCATAAACACTAGTTCTAGAAAACAGAGAGCAGCAGAGTCATATCAGCATCTCAGCCTGACCAAGTCTCTGTTGTGGTTAACTGTAAGGGAACCAGCAATAAATAGAGCTCACCATGCAGACTCCACTCACACCTCACCACATGGACATTTTAAGACAGTAGAAAAACATGGTTATTTAAACTGTTCTATGATATTTACTGGAGTAAGTATAGTAGGTATGACTTCTATGGGTACTTGTAAATAAACAGTCTTGTTTTGAAAAGTGTGCCTCTTAAGAAGGCTGGTGAGAGTGAAGCTTAGCTCTAGAAATTCAAAAGCAGAACTGAGCCCCAGAGAAAAGAGTACACTGTCAAAGCTATAGCGAAATAGTGTGTATCTAGACTTACAAAGATCAAGGGCTGAGGAAAACTGAATAAAAACATTTACTTTTCTTTTTATACATAGCTAACTTTGGATATTTTCCAATTCAATTTAGCTTCAGCAATTGTTACAAAGTTAACAAACATGAAAACAGAAATCTCCTAAATGGGGCTGTAGTGATGGCTCAGGGGTTAAGAACTACGGAGGGCCGGGCATTGGTGGTGCACGCCTTTAATCCCAGCATTCGGGAGGCAGAGGCAGGCGGATCTCTGTGAGTTTGAGGCCAGCCTGGTCTCCAGAGCGAGTGCCAAGACAGGTTCCAAAGCTACACAGAGAAACCCTGTCTCAAAAAACCAAAAAAAAGAACTATGGAGGGCTTCAGTTCAGTTCCCAGTACCCATGGAGGCTTACAATGTAACTGTAGTTCCAGGAGATCCTGCACCCACTTCTGGCCTCTGTGGGCACTGCATGCACAAGATGCATACATATACATGCAGGCGAAACACTCATACACATCAAATAAAAATACAGAAAATCTGGAAAAAAAGCATTGTAACTCGAAGAGAATCTTAAAAACCCAATACCTTAAGAGTACGAATAGGTAATTTTTTTTTTTTAAAGATTTTCCAGAGAAGGTTACTCTTGTGTATCCCTGGCTATCCTGGAACTCTCTCTGTAGCAAATAGGTAATTTTTATTGAGCAAAAACAATTAAGATAATTAGTTGCCTGATTTCTTTCTAAATGAAAATGAAATGAGAAGAAAAAAATATATCAAAAACAATAACTTACAATTCTTTGATCCATAGCTCTGCCTGGAAGAAATCAGGACTATAGATGGGGAAAGAAAATAAACAGGAGTTAAGGGAAATTCAAATATTTTCACCAACAAAAGCAATCATTTAAACAGTTTGTAAAACTACTTTGCAATTAAGGAATAAAAGATCTCCAAATAACACACAGTAACTAACTGAAAATTTTAGGACATGACAATAGCACACGTACTGAAAGGATGACCCAATGCTCAGAGAGGAATGAAGGAGCCAGCTCTCTTGTATGAGAGAATGCATATGTAAAGGGAAATCAATGTGCCAAGACAGACATGTGCAATCAGCACGACTCCAAAGATGTCAGGCCTACTCCAGTCCGCAAGGCTCTTGTGAGCAACCCAAATGAGGAACAGAGTAGGGTCACAGGAACGCTGTCTAACAGCTTTCCCCCTCTTAACTGCTTTATCTCTTTGCAAACCCCTAACTGAGGGATCTATCATAGAAACAAATGTTAGCAGAACAAACACTTTCCCAAAAGAAACCTTTGAGGTCCATAACAACAAGTCAACAGAGCATCAAACTGAGTTAGGAGACTTGGCTCCATTTAGTTCTGTGATTCTGAGCAAGTCACTTCACCTCTATGGGCTTCAGCTCCAAGATGTGTAAGATAGAGCATGGTTAGAGTTCTTTTGAGTCCCTAGTCTGTGACCTGGCAATGAAAACACTGTTCTGTTTTCTCAGTGTCACTAATGTTAATGAGAGCTGGTCACCTGTGCAACAATGAATACCCAATATAACAACCAAGACAGAAAGACTCAGAAATCATCTGTAGAGTATGGTTTTAGTGTATGACACAAAAATGAATCAACATGAGAAGACGTTTATTACAAAGATGCAAAAAGAATCACCCAGGACTTCACATGAGCAAGTCATGAATTTGTCTGTACTCCTTATTAAAATATAAATTTGATTGAGAACGGACATTTTTGTCTATTTATAAATTACTGTATCTTCTACTACTAGAATACTGTCTGGTACAGAGAAGACCCATGGTTGCTGAATAAATGAATAATGTAGGGACAAGTACTTCTCTCCAATGGACTGAACTATCTGCTGGCTCCTACAGGACAATGATAAGAGAAACTGCATTGCTAAAGAGATTACATAGTATTTCTTACATAATTGAGGCACATAGTAAGAGCTACAAGGATATTTAAACACAGTTGTTCTTCGTGCTCTATATGTAAAACTGCTCTAGTAGTTTTATATATTGTTAAGCCTCACGAGAACCTCCAGGAAGTTCTCAGTAAATAAACACTCGCTATATGGAAGGCACAGAATGTAAAACTTGTAAAGGAGCTCTTTTTTATATCACCCTTAGACATTATGGCTTAACTCTAAGCTTAATAAGGTATCTTTGAGGTAATTTAGTAATTTAATCATCATTAAACCTCTTTAACGATCAGATAAGAATTTCAGAAAGATAACTGTGATTACAGCATGGAAGACATGGACAGCTTGGTATGGTGGAAGACATAACAAAGAAGAGAATAAGAGTGAAGGCTGCAGGAAAAAGATGGAACAGGAAGTCACTGAAATAATTTGAAAAACATGAAAGAGATTAGAACAGGAAAAGTTTTATGCTATGTGACTTTCAGCGAAGAAACTGTAACCAAGAAAGGGAAAATGGCTGACCCTTCCCCTTAGATTTACCTGGAAACTGGAGTTTGAGATTCTTTCACTTTGAGTAAAATCACAGAGTCTGATCCTAAACAAAGAAACACCAGAGCGTTTCATTAGTAGTAAAATCCCACCATTTACCATGTCTTATTTCATTTTAAGCTTCTATACTTTGTTATGTTCTATGCCACAAACATGGCATTAAGCATGGGGCAAATGACAGGTAGTGTATGGAAAAAGTTACAGATGAAAAGAGAGGAACAGTTTCCCTTCACTGAGAGCACAGACAAGTCTTGAGAGGAGGTTGGCCTCACAAATAAGGAAGTCATTAGAAACACAGGTGTATCTGTCCAGCTACAATTTTAAAAGTCTTGAGTTTATAATTTAATATGTATTATGTAAGGTAAAGAGAAGGGAATAGGAAAAAGGGAAGGAGATGAAAGACCAAGGTAGAATGTACAGGAATAATTTTAAGAGCACAGAATTTATCATTGTGTATTTTAAATGTTCGTCAGAGCAGGGTTCAGGTCCTTCTAAGCACTGTGATTATTCTTTCACTTAGAATATTTATTAAACGATACAAGGACATGACACAATGCCATGTCGAGTATTTGCTCCAGTCTAGCGTTAGCTCAGTATCTACTACTGCATGACATATACTTATTAGGTTTGAGAATTTTTTAATTTTAGATTTCTGGAAAAATGAAAAGATAGTTGTCAATAAATCATTTCATAAAACGTAACACGAGTTTTCATGTATAGTTAAATAGTGGTATCACTAAAAATTAAATCCTCGAGTAAGAATTTTCAGAAAGTGATGAGTACAATAATACTAACAGTAAACCAAATGAACTCTGGAAGGAGGGGAGGGCCTTAAGAGACGGGTGCTGCGTGTGTCAAAAGAACCCTACTATCTGACCACTTAATCTAAAATGAGGGTAACTACATAACAAGTTGTCACCACCACCAATGCTCAGACTGGACAGTTGGTTTAGCTGAGAGTTAGGCAGGAGATTCTTGTTTCTACAACTGTCAACCACTCTGAAATGCACAAAACTGCTATCGAAATTAAGGATTGCATGATAAATACTTTTTTAATGTTTGAAAATTCTCAGAACTCTGGAGAACCTCACCTGCATTGCAGAGTAAGAGAAACAAAATGAAATCACTGAGGCAGTTGGGCTCAGTGAGCTTTGACTCTTGGCTTTGCTCAGGAAGTTAAAATAAAATATTTAGCCTATCTAGGTGGAGCATGCCTGTAACCTCGCTCTCTGGAAGCTAAGGCCATAGAATTGCACAAGTTCAAGGCCAGCCTCTCTATACAGCCAAGCAGCCAAGCAGCCAAGCAGCCAGGGGTACATAGTAAGGCCCCTTAAAAATAAATAAATAAGGGCTGGAGAGATGGCTCAGAGGTTAAGAGCACTGGCTGCTCTTCCAGAGGTCCTGAGTTCAATTCCCAGGACCCACATGGTAGCTCACAACCATCTGTAATGAGATCTAGTGCCCTCTTCTGGTGTGCAGATATATATGGAAGCAGAATGTTGTATACATAATAAATAAATAAAATCTTTAATAAATAAATAAATAAAATATTATACCAAGTCATTTGTATGCAGGAAAAAAGAATACCCTTAAAAAAAGGAAGAAAGGGAAGAAGGGATGGAGGTAAGGGAGAGAGAAAGGAGAAATGAGAGGAATGAATTTTATTTGTGGGTTTGTTTGGTTTCATCACAGCATGGCTAACTGAATCATGTATTTAATTAAAATGTCGCTATGTATTAAGTTACATATATTACAACTGTGCCTACAACAGATACGATGACTAGTTAATTGGCTGTTAGTATTATTTACCTTCAGATTGTGTATTTGATGCTGGCAAGTTATCTGGGTGATGTGGCGTAGAGGGATGATGGTGAGACTGATGTTGAGGATCAGAGTCTCTGGATCCAAATGCAGCATCTGGGGTACAGGACAACAGGGAACGTGCATTGTGGGACAACTGTTCCTGTGCAGTTAAAATGCTGGCTGATCCAGAGGATGAAGTATCAGAGCCAATAACATGAGATGCACAAGAGTTTCCATTTCTCAACAGTGAGTCTTTCAAAGAGTTCTTATTGGAACTAAGACACCGAGATCTAGTAGAAGAAGGATATAGTTTCAGTATCAAATAGCAAGTTGTAAAGTTAAGTTCACATGAAAGATACTTTTGTGACTCACAGGTGCAAAGGGAAATGTGTGGTGGGCTTGGCTACAGAGAACTGTTTTCCTGTGACCATCTGCAGCAGCTGCCTGTAGATCTCCTTTTCTTCTTCTTGAACTGTCTATAAGGGAAAGAAAAGAAACGATCTTAAACATGAGGCAAACACTTCTCAAATGAGCATGCAGATACTCTCAGGATCTCTGCCAAAGCTTTTGCAGTCCTGAAGATGAAGAAATATAGTACACTGATGATACTCTCAAAGTGTGTTGCATAAAAGGTGTTAAGCAGAATTAAATCTCAGAGATAGCTTGTTTTGGAAAATTATGGTGGATATTATAGTGCTAAGAAGTTATTAAATATGAAACCAGAAAGCCACGAAGCAATTAATCACTCAAATGATAATGAGTCCAGAAATAAAACATTTAAGACTCTTGAATTAGAACTCCAATCAGTCCCTTGAGTTCTGATACCGATTATAAAGGCCCTAAGGAGGTAAGCGCACAGTCGGGCTCTTTCAGAGGAAGGTATCTTGTATTCCATGCAGATACAAGTATTTTCTGAAGATGGAGTCCATCTCCACCATTTATTTACTTATTTTTCTCTAAGTCTCAATTTAGTATTTAGCACAAAAATCCAGTCTGTAACATTTACTCACTGACTTGAACATCTACTTTAGTCACTTGAGATTTAGCATCGAATAAAATAAACTTCCAGCCATTGTGGGGTTTATATTACAGTTGTTACAGTGGCTGTCAATCAAAAGCTTGTTCATAGCATGAAGAAAATTAAAGGGCAAGGAGGATACAAACTGATGGAAGGGAAAACAGCAAGGAGGTACAATCTCTCCTCCATGTATGCTTGCACACCACAAGAGGGCACTAGATCTCATTAGAGATGGCTATGAACTACCATGTGGTTGCTGGGAATTGAATTTAGAAACTCTGGAAGAGCAGACACAGTGCTCTTAACTTCTGAGCCATCTCTCTAGCTCTACAAATGTTTGTTAAAAAGCAGAATGAAATGGGAGGCAGAGGTAGGTATAGCTCTGAGTTGGAGGCCAGCCTGGTCTATAGAGTGAGTTCCAGGACAGCCAGTGCTAGAGAAATCTTGTATTGAAAAACAAAAAAGAAAGGAAAAAAAAAGAATTAAAGCATTTAACTACAAAAGCGAACAGACACTATCATTTCCCTTCCTGACTCTCTCACTGTTTCTGCAAAGTAAATTATAATTATGTTGTCATTATAAATTGTGAAGGACAACTCCAACTATCCTGAAATCTAAACAGTTAAGTGATAGAAGAAGAAGAAGAAGAAGAAGAAGAAGAAGAAGAAGAAGAAGAAGAAGAAGAAGAAGAAGAAGAAGAAGAAGAATTAGGTAAGCATTTGATGGACAAACAGATCCCAAGGGAAAACACAACTTTCAATATTCTCTGCAGGGCATTGCGGTCCACACTGTTTTACGCCTGGCACATTCATATTGTAGCCACAATACTGATGATGCTGTCTAGTGTTTCAGATACTGGTTAAGTTCTTCAGAATAAAGAGAAGTTCCCTCATAAATGACAACAGTCAGGGCAAAGGAGAAACTATATTCTAAGAAGAGAGAACATTAGGGATCATGAAGGGACAGGACAGTTCAACAGCACGAAGAAATAGAAAGGTGACCTAAAGGAAAACAGGAACTGTAGAGAATCTTACAGTAAGGCTGAGAGTGTACACGGCCCTACTGACAACTAGCAGTTCTAGATTCAGGAGTCTTCCTTCAGTACAGGCTTCCCTTGAAGAAGAAACCCATTACACTGTATTCCATATCTGGATTGCTATGATCAGTGCCATTTTTAGGTAGTTAGTTAGATGGCAGGCTTGAAGGACTTTGCGACTAGACCCTCCTTGGCAGCCAGCATCCTGTAAAAACAAAGGACTGAGCAGCAGGACTTAATCACCGGCCAGAAAGTATGCCCTGGGTCTTACCTCAGTCCTGAAGGAATGATGGTGGAAAATGTTTAATGTCTGTTTTCTGTAAACTATTCATTTCCTTTAACCTTGCTTCCTTCTTTCCCCTCTTGTGCTCCTTTGTTTTATCCTTTTATTTTTTATTTTTTATTTTTCTTAAATTTATTTATTAATTCTAGTTAGGGAACAAGCTCCTGAACTAATTGGGAGCATGAGGGTAGGGGGGAAGGAGCTGTTACAATAAGAGCAAGAGAAGAGGAGTAGAGGAGATGAAATGGAGGGGCAGAAATACTGAGTTGGGGGAAGAATAGAGGAAGGAGAGCAGGATGAGAGATACCATATCAGAGGGAGCCACTATAGGTCCGAGAAGAGACCTGGAACCAGGGAGATCTCCAGAGACCTACAAGGATGACACGATCTGTCAATCCAGGCAATGGTGGAGAGGATAACCTAAAAGCCCTTCCCCTAAAATGAGATTGATGACTTCTCTTTATGCCATCCTAGAGCCCTCACCCAGTGGCTGATGAAAGCAAAGACAGACATCCACAGATATACACTGAGCTGAAATTGGGAATTTAGTTGAAGAGAGGGAGGAATGAAGGGCGAAGGGGTCTGTACCAGGTTGGAGAAACCCACAGGAACAGTTGGCCTGAACAAGGGAGAGCACATCGACCCCAGATGCTGTCGGGGAGGCCAGTACAAGACTGATCCAGACCCCTGAACATGGATGTCAATAAGGAGGCCTCTGCACTCCAGGGAGCCTCTGGTGGTGGATTAGTATTTTTCCCTGGTGCAAGAAGGGACTTTGAGAGCCCATCCCACGTGAAGGGATACACTGTGACCCTGGACACATGGGGAAGGACCCATGACCAGCACAGGAAGATTTGGTGGACTTTGCAGAGCCCCCGTTGAGGGCCCTACCCTGCCGGGGAGTGAGGGTGGATGGAGTGGGGGTAGGCTGGGGCTGGGGGAGGAGGGATGGGGGTGAGAGGAGGGAGAGGGAGAAGGGACTTACATGTGAAACAAGCTTGTTTCCTTTTATTTTTTATTACTTTTACCTTTATTAATTTTTAAGTTACCAGTATATTCTACATTATTTTTGCCTCCCTTTTCTCTATATTCGTCGTCTAGTAGTCATCCATAATCTTTTTTTAATGTTTGTTTTGCTTCTGTGTTGTTGCTGTCATGGCAATTTGATTTTTCCCTTCTGAGTGATAATGAGGATTGAATCCCCAAGAAAAGGTCACTCCTCCCAGATAAAACCATAAAGACAGCCATCCAGGCTGAGGATAAAGCTCTTGCCATGCAAGCATGAAGATGGGAGTTTGGATATCCAGAACCAAATAAGTGCCTTTGGGAACAGCAGCCAGCCTACAATTCCAGTACTCAAAAGGTGTAGACAGGGACTTTCTGGAGCAAGCTGGCTAGCTAGACTAGTTATATAGGGGAGTTCAGGGTTCAACTGAGGGACCCTGTCTTAATATGTAAGGTGGACTGCTATGGAGGAAGTCCCCTGATATCAGTTTGGGACTTCTACATGCACGATCGAGTGAGCGTGGCGCATGCCCACACTCACGCACACACGCACGCGCGCAAACACACACACACACACACACACACACACACACACACACACACACACACACACGTCCATCATACACGTGAACACACAAACATACACATTCATAAAAAGACATCCTTATAGATGTCCAAATAACAACACAGAAACACAAGACACTAATATGGTTGAAGTAAGAGAAAGAATTAAAAGATCTAGTTTTAAAAATGATTAGCTGGTTAGTTACCTTTCTTGTCACTGTGACAGAATACTTCTCAAAATAACTTAGCATGATGGCTAGAATGGTTCACAGTTGTTTGTGGAAAGCATGAAGCAGCCGGTATTAGCCATCAGGTCAAGCCTGGTCATAAGGAGAGCCGACCTATATATAACCCATCTGCTGTGGTGATATATTGTTTATGATCTAATAAAGCCACTGGGGATCAGAATGCCAAGTCTGCCACACTAGTTAGCCATAGAAGCTGGGCAGTGGTCTCACACACCTTTAATCCCAGGACTCAGGAGACAGAGACAGATGGATCTCTGTGAGTCCAAGACCACCCGGGAGCTACATAACAGTCAATCAGTCTAAAAGAACTCACACCTTTAATCCTAGCACTAGAGATTATACAAGGAGGTCAGTGCAGTCTCAGCAGTCTAGAATTCTGACGCTTGGTGTCGAGAAGTGCAGTCTGAGGTTCAGTGGATCGCCCCTATTGTCTAAGCATTGGTAGAGGTTAAGAACTCTCTAGTGGCCAGCTGCTTTGCTTCTCTGATCTTCAGATCAGCCTGAACCCCAATATATGTCTTTGGGCTTTTATTATTCATGTTACAATCTGCCAGATAGGCCCTATGTCCAAAAGGTTCCTCTTCCTCCTAAAACAATGCCACCAGCTAGTTCAAATGCATAAGCCAGTGGGGAACACTTCATACCCAAACCTTACCAATCACTGACCCACACAAATTCAAATAGACAGATGAATGAAGATGTCAGCTGAAGACTTAGACAAGAAACTCAGCAAAGGGATACATTCAAAGCCTTAAAAGAAAAAAAATCTAAGTCTGGCGTTGATGGCACATGCCTTTAATCCCAGCACCCAGGAGCAGAGGCAGGCAGATCTTTTAGTTCAAGGCCAGTAGTGTGGCCTACAGAGTGAGTTCCAGGTCAGCCAGGGTTACACAGAAAACTTGTCTCAAAAACAACAGCAGATAAATAAATAAATAAATAAATAAATAAAGGAATGAATGAGTGAATGAAGAAAAGGCAATATTTGCAGTATTTATAAAACTTGTATGTGCTGTGGAACAATCCTTTTCTACACTAAAAATATGTATAACTCTCAATGGATATAACCAATAATTGGGTAGGAAGTTAAGCAGAAAAGCCAAACTGAGAATGATGGGAAGGAGGGTGGAGTCAAGATAACAGCCAGTAGGCTGCCCAGAAAGCAAGACATGCTAGAAGACAGGTAAAGCCACAAGCCACATGACAGGCAAATCCACGAGCCACACGGCAATACATAGATTAATAAAAATATGAGTTAGTGAATAATAAGCCTGAACTATCGGGTGAGCATTTATAATTCACATTCAGTCTCTGAGTTGATTATT